AACGCACCCCTTGTATTCCGCTTATTTCTATGAATTTAAGTAAACTACAACATAATCCAGACATCTTATCGGCCCCTTCGAGGCCAAATGCCCAGGTATGGCCGATGGTTTCTAAAGACGAGGGGCCTGCAAAAGGCCCGCGTTTTTGGAGCGGGACGCTCGCCGCGTCGCCGGCGCGCAACGCACGGCGACAGGCCTGAAAGAATGGCTGAGGTGACGAAATCCCCAAACTTGGGGGTGAAACGGCAGTCGTCGGAAACCGACCAAGCCTAGCCCGCGCCGTAAATAGACGACGGGACCCCCCAAGGTCAAGGGACGGTTCAGCGTCGGGGGACTAACAGACGAACCCCCGGACGGATCACTTGGACCCCCTTCCGGCCGAGGCGGGGAAGCAACCCCCTCGGCCGAAGCCTAGAAGAAGGAACACACATCAGGAGGACTAACATACGACCTCCTGGCACAATCAAGGGACGGCCCAGCGCCGGGGAACTAACAGACGAACCCCCGGACGGATCACTTGGACCTCCTTTCGGCCGAGGCGGGGAATCAACCCCTCAGTCGATGCCTGAAAGAAGGAACATACACCCAGAGGACTCCTGGAACTATCAAGGAAAGGCCCTCAGCCTCAATTCAATTCTACATCACCAATGGCCCTCGGCCTTGGCATGATTCCACGTCACCAACGGCCCTCGGCCTCAGCGTGATCCCACATCACAACGGCCCTCGGCCTCAACATCAGACGGCCCTCGGTCTCAAAATCAACAACGGCCCTCGGCCTCAACATCAGCACGGCCCTCGACCTCAGCATGATTCCACATCACAATGGCCCTCGGCTTCAACATGAGACGGCCCTCGGCCTCAACATCAACTACGGCCCTCGGCCTCAACATCAGAACGGACCTCGGTCTCAAAATAACCAACGGCCCTCGGCCTCAACATTAGGACGGCCCTCGGTCTCAACACCACCAAAAGCCACCGGCCTCAACGTGATTCAACATCAACAACGGCCCTCGGCCTCAGCGTGATCCCACATCACAACGGCCATCGGCCTCAGCATCAGAACGGGCCTCGGCCTCAACATCAACAACGGCCCTCGGCCTCAGCGTGAGGACATCACAATGGCCCTCGGCCTCAACATCAGACGGCCCTCGGCCTCAACATGACTCTATGTCATAACGGTTTTGGCCTTAGCGTGATCTCACATCACCAACGGCCCTCGGCCTCAACATCAGACGGCCCTCGGCCTCAACATCAACAACGTCCCTCGACCTCAGCATCAGAACGGCCCTCGGCCTCAACATCACCAAAAGCCCTCGGCCTCAACGTGATTCAACATCAACAACGGCCCTCGGCCTCAGCGTGATCCCACATCACAACGGCCATCGGCCTCAACATCAGAACGGCCCTCGGCCTCAACATCAACAACGGCCCTCGGCCTCAGCGTGAGGACATCACAATGGCCCTCGGCCTCAACATCAGACGGCCCTCGGCCTCAACATCAACAACGTCCCTCGACCTCAGCATCAGAACGGCCCTCGGCCTCAACATCACCAAAAGCCCTCGGCCTCAACGTGATTCAACATCAACAACGGCCCTCGGCCTCAGCGTGATCCCACATCACAACGGCCATCGGCCTCAGCATCAGAACGGCCCTCGGCCTCAACATCAACAACGGCCCTCGGACTCAGCGTGAGGACATCACAATGGCCCTCGGCCTCAACATCAGACGGCCCTCGGCCTCAACATCAACAACGTCCCTCGACCTCAGCATCAGAACGGCCCTCGGCCTCAACATCACCAAAAGCCCTCGGCCTCAACGTGATTCAACATCAACAACGGCCCTCGGCCTCAGCGTGATCCCACATCACAACGGCCATCGGCCTTAGCATCAGAATGGCCCTCGGCCTCAACATCAACAACGGCCCTCGGCCTCAGCGTGAGGACATCACAATGGCCCTCGGCCTCAACATCAGACGGCCCTCGGCCTCAACATGACTCTATGTCATAACGGTTTTGGCCGTAGCGTGATCTCACATCACCAACGGCCCTCGGCCTCAGCGTGATCCCACATCATAACGGCCCTCGGCCTCAACATCAGAACGGCCCTCGGTCTCAAAATCAACAACGACCCTCGGCCTCAACATCAGGACGACCCTCGGCCTCAACATCACCAACGGCCCTCGGCCTCAGCATGATTCCACATCACAATGGCCCTCGGCCTCAACATCAGACGGCCCTCGGCCTCAACATCAACAACGTCCCTCGACCTCAGCATCAGAACGGCCCTCGGCCTCAACATCAACAACGGCCCTCGGCCTCAGCGTGAGGACATCACAATGGCCCTCGGCCTCAACATCAGACGGCCCTCGGCCTCAACATGACTCTATGTCATAACGGTCTTGGCCTTAGCGTGATCTCACATCACCAACGAGCCTCGGCCTCAGCGTGATTCCACATCACAACGGCCCTCGGCCTTCATCCCTCCGACATCTTTATTTGATGTCGGGGGCTATCATACAGGCCCATCGACCTTCATCCCTCCGACATTTTTATTTGATGTCAGGGGCAATCACACAGGTCCCTCGGCCTTCATCCCTCCGACATCTTTATTTGATGTCAGGGGCTATCATACAGGCCCATCGGCCTTCATCCCCCCGACATCTTTATTTGATGTTGGGGGCAATCACACAGGTCCCTCGGCCTTCATCCCTCCGGCATCTTTATTTGATGCCAGAGGCTATCATACAGACCCATCGGCCTTCATCCCTCCGACATCTTTATTTGATGTCGAGGGCCATCACACAGGCCATCGGCCTTCAGCCCTCCGGCATCTTTATTTGATGTCGGGAGCTATCATACAGGCCCCTCGGCCTTCATCCCTCCGACATCTTTAATTGATGTCGGGGGCCATCATGAAGACCCCTCGGTCTCCATCCCTCTAGCATCTGTATTTGATGCCAGGGGCTCTAACACAAGCCCACCTGGCCTTGCACCCCTCTGTCACCTTTATTTGATAACGGGGGGGGGGGGGGGGGGGGGGTCCTTACAAGCTCCTTAGCTTTTTCATGCAGGATCTAAGGCTGATCTTGGATATCCCCTCAGCAGACGGACACAACCGCCGCTCAACAATCAAGGCCGAAGGGTGCACTGCTTTTGCTTCATTCTGAGGGCATCCGGTGTACTCTTTTTCCCCCATTAGGATTTTTTCCCACAGGGTTTTTTCCTAATGAGGTTTTTAACGAGGCATCTCCCCATTGTGGAGCAAAAGGCGTCACCCCTCGGCGGCTCCTGCTGAAGGCATGCATCACTCTACTCCTGTTTCCCTCGAGAAACTCTCGGCAAAAGGAGTGGGGGACTCCCCTCGGCAAAACACGCAAATGTTAAAAATTTTCTATTTCTTAGCTACAGCAGGCTGAGGCAAGATCACAATGGCAATCTACTCCCCTCGACATGATGCTTTCGGCTTACAGAATGCCTCCGGCCACACAATGCCTTCGGCCACATGATGCTTTCGGCCACATGATGCCTTCGGCCACATGATGCCTTCAGCCACACAAAGCCTTCAGTCAACAAATGCCCTCGGCAAAGCACACAAATGCAGATCTCTCATTACTTTACAAACTACAACAAAGAAACACATACGAGCAACACACTTACACTCCCTTCAGGAAGCTCTCAGCCCTCGACATATGGGGGAATTGAGAAAATGAGGCACCCAACAGGACAGGGGACTCCTGATGGAGTATATGGCCCAGGGACCCCCGGCCCACATACTTCCTCTACTACAATCAGGCCCAACAGGCCCAAACGGGCCAAGCCCAGTAAAATGGAGCTCTGAGCAGCCCACAATACGCAAAGGGGTGCCTTCGGCCCTATGGCCGAAGGCTACCAGTGACGGAATCGAGCTCAGAAACATCACAGGAGAACAAGGCTTGAAAACCAAGCCTTCGGCAACTGTAGCCCTCGGCAGGTAGGAGCCCTCAATTAGAAGAGGCATCACAGGAGAACAAGGCTTGAAAACCAAGCCTTCGGCACCTGCAGCCCTCGGCAGGTAGGAGCCCTCGGTTAGAAGAGCCTTCGGCCCAGCACCCTTCAGCCGAAGGCATCCACCTCGACAGAATATCCTCTTCACATGCGCCTGGATCACCGTACCAAGTACAAACGTCACATCCAACCACCGCATTTAATGCGGCCACATGCGAGTGTCAGTGCCACCCCGGTCGAGGTGACCCCTCGACCACCAGAAAACTGACACGTGTCCTTATCTAGCATTTATTACTACTATAAATAGCACCCTTTTCCCCCATTGTAAACCACGCTTAATACACATCGAATATACACTCTCTCTCTTACTTATTTGCTCTGACTTCTCTCTAGTTATTCTCCACAATAACCCCTCGGATAAGCTACCCCTCGGGTACACTATCCATCAAGAGAGTTATGAGTAGGATTTAGGAAGAGTTGAAGAAGAGATATAGAAAAATGTTTAAAATTAGGAGTATTTATATTCCCCCCCCCCCCCCCCCCCCAAAAAAAAAAATCGTCCGAACCCCCACTGCAAAGCCACCCAACGGCTATATAGCCATTTGGGTAATCCCCAGCCCACTCCCAACGGCTCTTTGTGGCTCAAAAGATTTTTTTTTTAATTTTGACCGTTAGGCCCGGATCCAGACCCGACCCGGCCGGGTCGTCTTTTGCAGGAACTGAGCCCGCCCCACCATTCCCCCCGGTTCGGGTCTACACCCGGTCCCGGACCGCCAGACCGGGCCGGTCCCGGTCCCGCACAGTAGCGGGCCAGGCCGGGTCACGGGCCGGTGGCCCGAACCGAGTCCACCACTAGTACTGAGGGGCGGACATGGTAGATACTATTTTTGGTTAGCTTGCTAGCTTAGATAGTTTTGAATTTTTGACTTTTTGATGCATTGTACTATGCTATTATTCTGGATATATATATATATATATTTATTTACATTTTATCCAAAAAAATAAACTCATCTGGTCCAAAGACTAATTAATAAGTGGAAATGCGGTGATGGATTGCCAATATACTAGTAAAGTATGATGGGATTAAAATTCTTAATGTAAATCGTTTGCCAACAAAGTAAAAGTGTGTGTGTTGGTAAAAGACTCGAGCTCAAACTGGAGGGAATGCTGCAAGTCTGCAACCTCTCACAAATATTCTCTGTCAATGTCATAGACAGACACTTTACACTCACACAGTTAAACAGAAAGCTGCAAGAATAGTGCGCACGAACAAAGACCCTTCTAGCTAATCCTGAAACATTCCTTCATCTGACAGGCTAGAAGATTCAGTACCATTTACATGAGGTTGGGTGGAAAGATTCTCACTTGAGTCACTTAGGATACTGTAATAGAAGTCATCATCGTCATCACTGTCTCCGTCTTCACCCAATTTGTCACCCACCTTCTCCACGACCCCTTGAGCTTCCCTCTGCATTTGCTGCTTCATGGCATCCTCATACGACATTTCAGACAGAACAGTACCATTTCCGATTATTGATTTATTGTGGGCATTTGTAATCCGCTCCTGCTTACTCTTTTCTGAATTTTTAGGTTCTCCCCAATAGTCATACTGATATAGTGGGCTTTCAGGATCATATTGATCCTTCCGTATAATGCTAGGATCAACATACCTCCCAGGCTCTTGTAGTGGAAGCCCAAGTGCGTAACGGCTGCAAGAGCAATGTTCAAACCAATCAATCATATCAAGTCATTCAAAAAATTGAATTAGTAGATGAAAATGAAGATGATTGATTGGGAGACCGAATTTAATGGGAGGCAGAATTAAGCCAGTGAACAACCTTGTGATGGGGGGAGGCGTATCCGCTACTCCGTGAGTTACTTAAAACTATGAATATAACGATTGTTTTATCCACAAGGGAGAATCCATAAATGTGATCTCAAGCCTCAACCTTCAGGGGTCATTTAGAAACTAGGAAGTACAAACATACACACAAAGCTAAAAAGGAGAATAACAATCAATTTCTATTTATTAATTAAATGAAACAGCACTAATTCCAATGGAGGACCCATTTTGTTTTTTCTGTGTTTATGTTAGAACGAAGGACACATATACATACACACAAACACACAAAGTATATAAACATATTTTCTATGTTTAGGTTAGAAGTAAAAAGAAAGAATGACAAAAAAGTGACTAAAATGATACTCCCTCCGTCCCGCTAGAAGGTTCCCGTGAACGGTTTACGATGCTTGACTGACGATAAAGTAACTTAATCCCTGTTCACACATCTGATTATTTTTAGTAAATAAAATTAACATATTCAGAAACTACATTAAAACCGCTACAAAGCCAGATAAAAAAATGTAAATTTGATAAAAATTTGATTTGTAAAGTAAAAGATTAAAAATGATTTAAGTTGACCATGCGAATAGTGGACGGGAACCTTCTAATGGGACGGGGATAGTATGAAATAACTAAAGTGCCTCTAAAACCCAAATCCCAATTTCACCCACGTGCTTCCATCCTCTTCAATAGTTCAACCTCCTTCCTCCTGCTAGAGAGCCCGCCTACTGCTAGGGGTGGACTCGGGCCGGGCCAACCGGCCCGGAACCGGACCGGCCCGCCACTGTGCGGGCCCGGACCGGCCCGGGAACCTGTTCGTTGGGCGGTTCGGGCCACCCGGCCCGGTGGATTCTCGGTTCGGGCTCGGGCCCTTCAAAAGGTGAACCGGCCCGGCCGGTTCGGACCCGGGCCGGGCCAATTTTAATTTTTTTTTTGAATTTTTTTTGAGATTTTGGGTTGGGCTGGTTATTTTGGGCCATTTGAGGTGGTTAGGGTTGGTTTGGGGGTGAGGGGGAGGGGTGGGGGTTAACTAGGAAAAGCCCCAAAAAAAAAAACCTGAGGCCCGGCCCGGCCCGGACCCGGGGTTTACCCGGGCCGGTTCCGGGCCTCCCCTTCTTGAACCGAGGCCCGGCCGGGCCCGAACCGGCCCGAGTCCACTCCTACCTACTGCTCTAGAGTGCCACACACGATGCCGACAAAAAAGCCATCAAAGACAGCGATGGAGCTCTTCGAAGATGGCGATGGAGCTCTAGAGTATAGCTACGGAGCTCTGCGAAGACAGGATTTGTGCCGCCGTTGAAACTCCTCTCCCGCCGCTTCAACTCGTCCCCACTTCTTCTTTCTTCTCGTCCGCAACCCTATGTTCTTCACCGCTTGGGGGTTAAATTGACGGTGAGCTAGGGTTTCATGGTGACGGTGGTGTGGCTGAGGTTCCAGTGTGACGGCGATGCTGTTGAGGTTCCAGGGCGACGGCAGTGCGGTTGACGTTCCTAAGCGACGGCAGTGCGGCTAGGGTGGTGTTCACTATACCAGAACTGAACAGCCTGCCACCCCCACTCCACCCTCTGTCCAATTTGAAGGCTCGTTCATATCAGGGTAGCTGGGAACTACTTGTCCACCGGGCAGGACAGCTTTTGGAAGAGGCTACATGGGAAACATTGGATTCCTTCCGTGAGATTTTTCCTGATTTCGATCTTGAGGAAAAGCTCGTTGTCCACAGGGGAGTGATGATATGGGTCGATTTGGTCCACGGGGAAACAGTATTTTAGTTAATTAAATCAGTTTCCTACTTTGAGTTTATTATAATTAATTAGATCAATTTCCTACTTTGAGTTTATTTATTCAGGTTTCCTTATACTCCCTCCGTCCCGCTAAGATTGTTCCATTTTACCTTTTCGGGAAGTCCTACTAAGATTGTCCCATACCAAATTGGTAAAGATTGTGTGGCTCTAAATCATTATTACTTTATTCTTACTTTATCAATTTAATATCAACCACACAAACTCACTTTTCTTAATAATCGTGCCACCTTCTGTCGTCCCAATCTTAGTGGGACGGAGGTAGTACTAGTTTAGGAGCTTCTTTTTTTACTCCTTTCCTATTATTGTTTTAGGAAACTTGTCTTTTGCCTATTTAAGGCTTATCAGTTGGATTAATGAGATTAGCTTTGGAATATTAATTTACATTTGGCGTACGGTGGAACCTGGGACAAACTCCTTGCCGAGGACGGGAGTCGATTAATATTTCAGGCACCATAGATTCATATTTTCTTGAGGGGTGGGGAGAAGAGGCAGAGAAGAGGGAGGGGAAGACCCAAACAGACTTGGATTAGAGGAATCAGAACTAATATGCGTCTTCTTGGGTTGAATGCTTAGTTTTAAAAGGCACAAGGCGGCACGAGACGTTTTCATTGATTTACTCGAGGCACGAGGCGCGAGGCGCACGCCTCACGGATCTTAGCATCATATCATTGGTAAGAAAACTCAATCTTAATAAACATCATAAGAGAAACCTAACATTTATTAAAACTGTAGCAAAAAAAATATTAAACGGCATCATTGCCAAAAGTTGAGAAAACTCAATCTTAAAACTTTAAAACATAATTAATAATTTGTTATATAAAAAATTGTTAAGGTCAAATATTCATATCACTGTAAAACTCATGTGTTATATATTTGTTAAATAAAAACAAATATTTAGGTACCTAACACACGCATAAGAGAACAAACAGTAGAAGAGAAAGAAAGAAATACTTACCTACTAGTCCTAGCTTGAGACGCAAGACAGCAGCGGAAGAAACAGGACTTGCGATAAAGCAAATGCAGAAGGAAGAAACAGGACTTGCCATAAAGCAAAAGCAGAAAGAAGAAACAGGACGCAGATGTCAAAAGCCAACGCAGAAGGAAAAAGGGAGAAGACTAGAGAGAGACTGAATCGCCAAGACAGTTCCATGATGCGTGAGAAGCGCGCGCCTCTCAGACGCGCAAAAGGCGTAAAAAAGCGCCATAAGGCGTGCCTCTTGAAACCCACGTCGCCTGGGGGTGTAAGATGTGATAAAGTGATCGCCTTAGGGCGCCTCACCAAGGTTGGATGAGAGTATGGCCTTGGAGAGAGCAAAGTGAAGGGCGTCATCCGTGTGGACGATTGATGTCTTTTCTTCCTTTCCTCTTTTTTCTTTTATCGTTTATCTTTATCTTTTTATATTCTTATGTTATTTTTATCTTCTAGTTTTTTTATGCTCTTTTATTTTTTATCTTTTATCTTTCTTATATTCTTGTGTTATTGTTATCTTATATTTATTTATCTTTATTTTATTCGTTTTATCTTACTTTTTTTCTTCCCTTTCTTGTCCGTCTTCTCTGTGTGGCAACGATATAATAGATCGATTCATGTTAGCCGACCCAAAATTCTTTTGGGATTAAGGCTTGAATGTTGTTGTTTTGTTGTTCTCAGAATCATCGACTTTGGACTAGATCTTGTACCAAGGCCCTTAACACTTATCCTCCCTTTCTACATTTAATAAAAAAATTGTGTTAATGTATGTAGTCTAATACAATATGCTGGGTGAACCTGGAAAAGTATTTGTTTAATTTAAGTTCTGCTAAGAAGATGATTGTTTACATAAATGTTTTGACAACGAAAATAACCAAGTGAAGAATTTAGTATATTCTTAAATATTGAGTCTGCTATATTAAATTTGGGTTCCTGTTGCTTTGAAATTAGATTCCTGAAATCAAAACCAGTAGGATAGGGATTATCATACTTGCACAAGTCCCACTTTACTTTGACAAGCAACAACATATAAGATCACCAAATTATCTATCCTAACGAGAAATGGATTAATTTATGTGATTTATTAGGTTCTTTCTTCTTTGCCGTGATCTTCCTGACCTTGTGAACAAATAATCTGTCCTGTATCATTAGTAATACATGTCCTGTTCCCCATCATTCCTGGGAGAGTGGTGCACTGGTGAGGTTTACTTTAGATTTCTTCCCAAGAGAGATAGCGTTATCTACAAGAGAAAAGAATAATACCAGCTAATATCTCGGATAAGAGCCTCTCTTTCCTCCACTGATCGTCGCCAATGGATTAAGTCATATTCATCCATTTCAACATTACGCCTCAACTTGGTAATTTTGTATCGCTCTCCTCGTCCTTTTGCTTCTTTACTCATCTTAATATGATGCTGCATTATGAAAGAAAACAAGCAACATGCAAATTAAATACCAAGTAATGATCCATTTAACATGAACACAATTTTCCTATTACATTCCATCTACATATTGGATTAATTTTCCCTACAAACACTTGCTAAATCCCTCCCAATTTGGGAGTCCCATTTCGGATTACAAAGTTTGATTGAAGGAGTGAAGTTCAAGCTAATTCTCCTCTAATATTATTGAAAAAGTATTAACAGTTCAAATTGACATAGTTAACATTACACAAAGTTCTATTGAACCACAAACAATAAAAAATCAAATTTAAATATGATAAACTTTGATACAGAAAATTAGAGATTAAAAGAGAGCTAAGTTTGACTGATGTTAAAACTAATTCTCCTCTAATATTATTAAAAAGTATTAATAGTTCAAATTTACATAGTTAACATTTTACAAAGTTCTATTGGACCACAAAAATCAAATTTAAATATGATAAAATCTGATACAGAAAATTAGAGATTAAAAGAGAGCTAAGTTGATGCATATTAGTGAATGAGACCTTTGAACTGGAATGGAGGGAGTATTAGGAGTTTGTCAACCATATGAACTGATTTTTATTAATATGAAACTTGATAATAAAGCTCTATACAAGTGGGTATATTTATAGCTATAATTGAGGCACTAGGGTTTCTATACAAGTTGGGCTAGGCCTAATATAACTAGGGTTTCAACCCCCCCCCCCCCCCAAACTAGATCTAGATCATATAAATTATATACACCAAGCTTGTTACAAATATATTTCATTATAGGTCCCCTCTAAGAGAGTTGGTTAAGACATCTGCAAGTCGATCTTCCATTTGATAGAATTTGTGATGATCTGGTCATTTGTAATTTTCTCTCGGATAAAGTGACAATAAACCTCAATATGCTTAGTCCTCTAATGATATACATGATTTGAAGCAATGTGCATTACAACTTAATTGTCACACATTAGTTTGACGGGTTTCATGCTTCCATATTTTAACTCATGGAAGAGATGTTTCAATCATAAGATTTCACATGAAGCAAGTGCCATGGCATGGTATTCTACTTCAGCACTATATCCAACAAAGTAATTTCCACCAATCAAGATGCAGTATCGGGAAGTAGGATGTCTATCCATCGAGCATCCCGCAATTTCATGGTGACCTCGATCTTGGAAGAGCAATCCTTGTTCTAATGTTTAATGTATGTACATCAAGACTCGGATAGCTACACCCAATGTCCATCACATGGCTTATCAATAAATTAACTTAGTATACTTACGACAAATGAAATATCTGATGTCATGATGGTAAGATAAATCACCCTGATCTGATAAGAGTTTGACACTTGGATCCATTGGTGTTTCCACAGGCCTGCACTCTGTCATACTTGATTCTTCAAGAATGTCAAATGCATATTTCTTTTGAGAGAGGGGAATCCCATTTCTAGATTGGGCGACCTCAACACCAAGACAGTATTTCAAGATCCCCAAATCTTTTTTGGAATTTGCTAAAGAGATTTTTTTTGAGTTGGCAATTCCTTGGTCATCATTACATGTAATAACAATGTCATCAACATATATACTACTAACAAGATACATGTTTTGCCTCTTGAATGTCCAGAGAATATTAAATGATCAACATCACTCCAAGTCATTGCCAAATCCGTGAACTACAACACTAAACCTCCCGAATCATGCACGAGGAGATTGTTTATATAAAGAACAACGTAATCTGCGCCCTAAACAAGGCTCCTCTGAGCAACAAAACCAGATAGTTACTCCATGTAAATCACCATAGGAAATGCATTTTTAATGTCCAATTGATATAACGGCCAAGAGCTCATTGCAGCCATGGATAAGATCAAATGAACTAATGTGCATCTATGCTACAGGAGAAAAGGTGTCAGTGTAGTATATACCTTGCTTTTCTGTGTATCCGTTTGCAACCAGACGTTCTTTAAGCCAATCAATTTCCCATTTGGACCAACTTTAACCGTATATATCCACCGGCATGCAACAAGTGATTTCCTGGTACAAAGGGGAACTAAATCCCTGTCCACTAGAATGTAGTATTAAGACTTGGTGTCATGAGAAAAGGTGCTAGTGTAGTCTAAACCTTAGATCTTCGTGAATCCGTTTGCAACAAGATGTTCTTCAAGCCGGTCAATTTTCATCCTAAAAGATCAACATGCTATGAGGAGTAGCCCAGAACCTATACTGGTAATTTGTATTTTCATATGTGGCCGGTGTGGGATAACATAATATGTTTCCGCAATATGGTGGCTCATTTAGAGTACACCAGACATGTAGTCCATGTGCTCACTATTGAATCTTACTAGAATCTTACTGCTCATTAGAGCTTAATCGGCTTCGGTACCACATTAACATTTTAGAGAAGAAATAAAATTATAGCTGAAATGCTTGATGTATTTTCTGGTTTCTACTACTACTACTACTTATACAATGATTAGGAACCTATAATAATAGTTACAATATTAATTGTACTAAGATTGTACAATATTAACTAAAAATAATATAAACTATTATTGTCTGGGATTTTCAATACTCCCCCGTAAACCAAGTATTATGTCACTCCCAAGAATTATGAGTTTGTCTCTCACAAGAGTAAAACGTTACCTCGAGAGTGGTTTGGTAAGAGCATCAGGCAACTGATCTTGAGACGGGACAAAGGACATGAAGAAGCCCGCGTTGTACACATGTCGGACAAAAAGAAAATCAATGGCAACACATTTCATCCTAGAATGGATAATAGGATTTGCAGAAGAGGTGATAGCTCCTTTGTTATCGCAAAGTAGGACCGGAGAAGAGGGAGGTGAATGTCAGAGTTCATTATGAAGAAGAGATTCAATCCAAAGAATTTCAGACGCAACAATGGATAGAGCCCGATATTCTGCTTCTTAGAAGATTTCGTGATGGTCTATTGTTTAATGGACTTCCACAAAATAAGTGATTCCCTAAGGAAAATGGCATATGCGCCGGTAAAGCAACAATCATCGAGATTCCCATCCTCGTCTACATCAGCATAAACATGTAGAGAAAGAAAAGAGTTGTGGTGGAGATAGCAATACGCGTTTCACATATTGCCAATGACTAACAGTTGGTTTGTGCATTAATTGAGCATTTTATTATAGCAAAGGCAACATATGATCTTGTGAGACTCAAATACTGGAGTGATCCAATGACTTGACAATATAGAGTGACATCACAAGACCCCAAACTGTCAAATAGGGTCGAGGAAGCCAAGGATGTGGAGACCGGATTCACCTCATTCATCTTCAACACATGTACTAAGTCTATAATGTAATTCTGTTGACCATGAAAAAGGGCAATGGTCAAGACCAAGGTAGTCAAAGTCGAGCGCCTCAGCGCTTAAGCGCACCAGGTGCAGCGCAATAGAGGTTCAGCGCTTGAAAGATGACCAGGCGCCCTCCTGTCTCAGGCGCAGCTTAGGCGCATAAAGCGCAGAAGCGCCGAAGCGAGAAAAGCGCACGCTTAAGTCGCCTGGGCTGGGCAAGGTTTATCGGCCTGTTTTTTTGTTTGATCCTATTTTAAATAATAAACCCATACTAATAATAAGATTTAGCTCGTCCAAATTATAGGTAAAAACAACTTAAACCAATATTAAACCCTTCTTAGCCATGGGAAAAGTCTTGCGCAACATGCTCAACGCTAAAACACATTCAACGAAGCCACAGAAACCAGAAACCCATAAGGTGTCTTCTTCTTCATCTTCCAATGTTCTTTCTTCTTTTTCAGCTTGTATTTTTCATTTATCTTGTCATCTTCTTCATGATACTTTCATTTTGTTCTTTCAGTCTACCTTCTTTCTTTACTTTTATCAGTTCCAGTCATCTTTGCATAATTTATAGTTCTCTTTTGCTTCTAATATATTCTATACAACTCAAACATATTATATGTACTTGACTACTAGTTTACATTATATGTACTCTATATTATTTCATCCTATTACAGTCTATAACTCTATATCTTCCTATTATCATCTCATATTTTAACTGTATAAAAACTTCATATAATCTAACTCAGTTAATAGTTTCATACACTATAATTTGTGTTCTTCTAATAGTAAAATTGGAAAAAAAACAAAGACAGAGCCCACTTGGTGTTTTGTTTTTGTAAACCATGACTTTATTTTGGTGAATCATGACTTTATTTTTTAGAAACATGACTTTTTGATGCATTTAGTTCAATATGATGTTGAATATGTCATATGTGATCAATCTAGAATAGTATACAAAATATTGTCTAAATAGTGTGATTGACCCTAGTCAGGCGAGCGCTTTTTTGCGCCTTGCGCCTCAGGCGATTGAATCTAGAATAGTATACATAATATTATCAAGTACTCTAGCGCCTTAAGTGTGCCTCGCGACTTTGACTACCTTGGTCAAGACGCTAGAAATACTGGTTTGGTGGAGAGTACGAGAAGCTACCTTTTCCTCTTTAACTTCAGTGTCAGACCAGATATTTGCAACAAAGGTTTCTGGATATTGTGGTGCTACTGTAGGAAATATTTGGGAGAAAATTTGTGTAGAAGACATTGCAACAGGGGTTGATGAATATCCATTTCTTTATTGCTCGTATCTTTTCATCCATTGCTAAGTTTTCCTCCCTCACCAGTCAAGGAATTACTGAGCAATTTGTGTATGCAGATGTTAAGGTAATCGACATGGGTGTGACATGGGTGTGCCTGCTGGCACTCCTGTAAAAGCAGGTGCTTGTCAAGCACTTTCACACTAAACTGATACAGACTCTGGAGTCAATTGGCCACATATCAAGGACTTAATTTCATTTCTCATCAACCTACTCGAGAATACATCTGATGGAACTATGCATATGGTGCTTGAGACACTACAGGCTACTTGCAGGGCAGACCCTTTTGCCAGCATTGATGCTCTAGATTTTTTAGAGCAACCTGAAGAAATAATCCTCTAAGGTGATGACCGTAGTGAGATGCAGAAGTTA